GCTTAGAACAGTGCCATATTGTGAGAGAGAGAGACATAAAATAGGTTTTTTTTATGGGAAGTTTATATGCATGCAAACAAGATCATAAAGTAAGGCCTTGTACTTCGCAGATAAGGGCTACAAGACTCAGAAGAGGAAGTCTTTTGAAGTCATCAGGAAAGTTCTTGTTGAATTTTGTAACTAACTGGAACTAGAAGTACCAGTAGTGGAATCTGGCCAAGCCAAGAGGAGGAAGGTGTTCTAGGCTAAGGAATAGCTTTGGGGAAGAAGGGATTAGGAAGGTAGTGTAGAATCTGGGAAAAGGGGAAGAATCTGGTGTGATTTGCTGGCTCAACTTTACAAAACCAGGGGAGTTGCATTAGATTTCTAAGAGGATCATTTCACTAGCAAACATCCTTTGTGATTCTTGAAATAGGGAAGTTAGGGAAAGAAACTGATTGTGGTTAGAGACCAAATGAAGTTGAGGTGATAGGGTCATCCAAAATAGAACACCTAATGGGAAGTTAGAAATGTGACACTGAAGCTTTTTTTTTTTTTTTAAGATTGATTTATTTGTGCATACAAGGGCTAGGGTTTATGCCAGAGGCATGAGGAGTGGGAGGATTCATCAGAGAGAGAATGGGAAGCAGAGCAGGAAAATCTACTGAAATACATTGCTGAGTAGAGCAGGGGGTGAGATAGGAGAGGTCTGCTTTGCTGCATGTAGCTCAGCTCCATGGCTGGGAATCATCGAACTCATATTGCAGTGGCTGCAAATAGCTTCATAGTGTTGACTTTAACCCCTGTGCCACCAGGGAGGCACCCCCTCAAACCCGACACTGAAACTTTGGAAAGGTGCCAAGGTTGAGACTCAATAGGATATAAAATGATGAAGGCCCAAACCATGAGAAAGAGAAAGGGCCAGGGGCCGGAGAGGGCTTGAAAGAGCCATGCAAGGAGAACTAGAGAGGATAACTAGTTCTCTCTGATAACTTAGCATCTTTTATTCTTTTGTACCTCCCCCATTCTTCTTTTGCAAACTTTAGGGTCCTTCTGGGGTGTACACACTTTACAGAGCTCAGAAGTCTGGAAGTGAGCACCCTCAGAAAAAAATTCTAGTATAGTCTGGAGCAAACTCTATGATTCAACTTTAGGCATAACATAAACACAGTAACAAACATGGTGAGTTGGATTCTTCTTCCCTTCACTTGTTTTTGTTTTTGTTTTTCCTCCTTTTCCCCCTCACTTGTTTTGTGTATTTTTGATACTTTCAAATCTGGTCAGCCAATCAACATAGGAAACTAGTGTAAACAACAATTCACCAGAGCAATCAAAGCTGTTTGATAGGTACTCTACTAGATTCTATATTGTGCTTCCCTTCCCACCACCACCAAATTCATGTCCATCCAGAATCTGTGAATGTGAACTTACTTGAAAGTAGGGTCTTTGCAGATATATCAAGCTAACATGAAGTCATACTGAATTAATGTGGGCCTTAATCCAATGACTAGAACCCAAAGAGAGGGTCATCCAGAGACACACTCAGAAAAGGTGGCGACTGGAAGACAGGCAGGATTGGAGTATTTATTGCTCTACACTGAGGAGAGGCAAGGAAGGCCGATACCCACTAGAAACTAGAAGAGGCAAGGACTTTTATTTTAGCCCAGCATCTTGATTTTGGGTTTCTGGCCTTCAAAAGTGTGAAAGAATAAATTTCTGTTGTGAAGTCATCCAGTGTGTGGATGCTCAAGGAAACAAACTAACACAGGCACCAAATTCATCATGAAACATTCCTGCAGGGTATCTTGCTTATGTGGGTATTTAAATAACATGGAAGTCAGGCTACAATGGTGCTTTGGGTAGTTCTACAAGTTAGTGTTTTTCTTCTACCCAACTTTCTTCCCTTTCCTTGGAAAGTCAAGGAACTCCTCTGGCACGGTCTTTCTTGTCTTAAAAGTCATAGCATTCTCTAGAACTCTGTCTTTCTGGGGGCTCCACTTTGAATGACCCTTCCACTCCTACGGCTTCACATTTACCTTTTTTGTACAGTTCATTGTTTTTCTAAAAAAAAAAAAGAAAGAAAGAAAATAAAGTTTGCAGAAGACAGGAAATAATATACAGGTTTCCCCACCCTCCAAAAGTAGATTGTTCCTATTTGGTTTGATTTGGAAGATTATTTTTGGGATCTGGAAATGTTATAACCATTAACTTACATGGAAATTTTTTTTGTGTATACCCAGACCCAACTAATAATCTACCAAATCATATTGAATAGGAATGTTCTACTTTCAGATAGTGAGATAACCACATAATAAACATTGAGTCATCATCCAGATTTCCTCTCTATCTTTCTGTACTTTTCCCTTTTCTGCTGTTTCCATGCCCATTCCAGCCCTCAATTTCCAAAGAAGGTGAGGTTGCCTAGCCTGATTACAAACCTACCCATAGAGAACATCATGTAAGAGTGGAGCTGAATTTTCAGAAGGGCAGGCAAGTGACTTGAATATCCCTCATATTTCATTTCTGCTTTTTAGGTATGTTCTTCCAGACTGAACCTATTCCATCATGTTTTGAGTTTTAAGCTAGAATTTTTTACCCAAAATAATCTGTAAATAGTAGAGGGTGTTAGAGATGGGTTTCACACCTTCTACTTCTAGACATCCACATGCATTTCAAGTGGGACTCCCTTTCCTCTTGAGTTTTTTCAGAATTGATTGAGCTACTTTCCACCTGGCTTCATAGAAGGGAGAGAATAGCTCAGGGCTAATACCTGTGCATGACTACCAGTAGCTTTCCTGACTCCCTTTTGTGGTCTTTTGCCTCTTTATTATCCTATAAAGCTCCCAAACAGAGGGTTTTGTGTTATTTTTTAAAAATACTTATTAACTCTTGGTCATAGACTTAAACTTCCCAGTTCCCCTCGAACTTGATCTCTCCAATTAGGATTTCAGTTACAGAGTAGCTGTATACTGTTTTCAGTATAATTCAGAGTTCAGAAGGTCATTAGGGAGATAAATCAAAATACAAATAAATAACTTAAAGGTACAAAAACATTCTTTTGGTAAGACCAGTAGAATTACAAAGAATGGGAGCAGTATCACATTTTTCTCGTTTGTTTTGGACTACAGGCTCCTTTCTGATTTAGAAGTTTTTCCTGCTCCGCATTTCAGTGATAATTCTCCCCATGGTCTACAGGATCCCTGTTCTCTTTGTTTCTATAGCAACAGTCCCTGTGTTGCTTGGCTAGAAGCAATTTTCTGCTGCTGTGGTGAAGCCCCATTTTTTCATTCCTTTCTCCCTAGTTGCCTTAGTAACAGCCTCTCCTTCTTCTGCTTTCTCAGTGGTAAATTCCAATCCCCCACCCTTTTTTTTTCCCTCTCTGTAGTAACAGTTACCTGGTCATGACTTGGACAGTGCTTTTCCATCTGTGAGTGAACATACTTTGTCATGGTTAGATTGTCATCATGAAATTAGCCTCCCTTTTGCTTTATTTGCATCATTTCTCTGGCCTGCCATCTTTCTGGTGGTTGTCATGGTAACCGTACCCTCTGAAAGTCTCTAGGCAAAGACTCTACAGTTAACAACCATCATGTGAGAGTGTCTGCCAATATGTGGCTACACATCTCGATTTAAAACCCAGCCCCAGGCGGGTACCACAAATTGGAGCAAACAAGGCTTTCGATCAAAGCAGGCTGGATTGAGAAAAGGAGGTACAGGGACCAGAAGTGGGATCTGGTGTCCTCCAAACAATACATGTGGCTGTAACATTTAGGCTGTGTCTGAAAGCGTTGCCATTATGCTGATGTGATCCAAGTGATTGAGAAATGTTTTGGCAGCCACTCCAGGCAGCCCGGTCATATACTCTAAACTTCCAGGGATGATTCCTCTGTCCCAAAAGATCCTCTTGATAAGTCCTGGGAGCTGGGCAGAGTCAAGTAATCTCAGAGAGAATGCAATTAGAACTGTTAAGTTGGCTAACAAGGGGTTAGTACAATAGGTATTTAGGCACTTTTACACATTAGTGAAAACGTCTCTACCCTTAGGCTGCTGCTCTTACCTCTTTAGGGAGGCAGATGGGGTGTTATTATTATAATAATATGAAGTGTTCAACAAATGGTGCTTGTTATGTGCCAGGGCATTGTAGCAGGCATTTTTCAGACATTACTTCATTTTCTCCTTATGGCAATCCTGAGAGATATTTAAAGATAAGAAAAGAATCCTAAGACGTAAAGCTAATTTTCTAATGTCTTGTGGCTGATAAGTGGCAGAGTTAGGATCTGAACCGTGGTTCATGATTCCAAAGCCCATTTTTAAAGGTTGACAGATGTCCTGAATATCGATCCCTTCTGGTCCTAATTTTCCTCACCCCACGTTATCATAAAGGTTGCTACTACTTTATCCTTTCTGCTTTCAGTATTTTCCCTCTTCATATTTTAAGGGCTTAATTGCTTTTTCTCGGTTGTCACATCTTTTGCATTCTCTTCCCATAGGGATTTGTCTTTTGATTGTGTCTAAGTTGTTGTTGCCAGAGCAGCTTTGCCTGAGAGCTGGGCAATGATTTACTACTGGGGAATGCCATACTTCTGAATTCACTGGCTCCAACATAAGGCAGGCAAGCAGTTCTCCTCTCCATTTAACATGAGTGTCTATTCCGTAGCACGCACCGTGCTAGGAGCTGACTATAGAGTAACAACCTAGGCTGATCTGTCCTTTCCTTTATGTAACCAACAGCTTGCAGTGAGAAACAATAGGCTAGAAGTCAATACGTATTTTCTATCGAAATTAGTGCTGTGAAACAGCAGAAGTGTACCCTTAAAGAAAGAACGGTCGGAATAGATATGACTGCCGTGCTCCTCTTTAGAGAGGAGGTAGGCTGACGGTCAGACGCCGAGAAACGGACGGCAGACATGTCCCACGCGTCTCAGGCTCCCAGCTCCATCAGTCTCCAGAGCAGAAGGTTCGCGCAGGCGCACTGATGGTTGCCATGGGGACAGCTGTCCCGCGCACGCGCAAATACCCTCAAAATGGCGGCAGCGGCGGCTGCACGAGCAGTTTCTTTGGGTCCAGGGCTCTCGGGCCTGCGACCGGCGCTGCCACTTGTAGTGATTCTTGGGGCCACGGGCACCGGTAAGTCCACCCTGGCGTTGCAGCTAGGCCAGCGGCTCGGTGGCGAGATCGTCAGTGCTGACTCCATGCAGGTATGGCAGTGTGGGTCACCCCCAGCCTGTGAAACTCGAGGCCGTGTGCGTTCCTCGGGTCCAGTGGCTACCCTGTCACCGGGCGGTGGTGGGTGAACCCGGAGGTTTGTAGGGCGGAGGATAAGAGGAGGGAACTCGTAATTACTAGACACCCACCATATGCCAGACACAGTGCCAGCTGTTTTACTTTCATCTTGTTTACTTCTTACGACATTACTTTGGGTAGATACTATTATTATCTTCATTTACGGGTCAGGGAATTGACCTAGAGAGGGGAAACAGTTCTGCATTTCACATGGAGAACAAGGGGAGAAGAGGGTATTTAACCCTACAGGCTTGACATACAGGTGTCCAATGAATATCTTTCCAATAAAAATCATTCTACAACTTTTGCTATTTTAAGGTTGCCCAGCGAAACCGGAATAAATAGCTTATCATTTATGAGTGTGTGCAGATGCGGGAAATAAAACTGAGAATGGAGCAGAGTGGATAGTCAGAAGACTGGATCGGAGTCCCAAGTTGGCCACCAGTCACGCGACCTTAACAATGTCAGTTTTTGTTGTTTTATGTATCTGTAAAGTGTAGAAAATGTCATGTCTCCCACAGGGGGCCCTTAATAAATGAGATCCTGACTACTAGAATAAAGAGCAGGTGGTCCCTTCTGAAGGACAAATGCTTACTGAAGTGGAGATTTAATTTTTAACCTACTAGGTGCTGAGAGTTGAAGGGGCATTGTCCTCTTTCTTGAATGGAGGAAGGGGGGAGCCCAGGAGTGTAGAACACTTCATACCTGGGAGTACTTGTGCTCAGATTGAGAGTGAGTGACGTTTTGGGTAAATCTTTGATGGAGGAATTACAAGAGTTATTTGTTGAGAATTTACAGTTTTGAGGTTTTGTTTTCTTTTAAGATTTTATTTTTGTATAGAAGAACTGGGGTGCAAAGGCAGAGATGCAGGCAGGAGTTTGAGAAGATTCAGCAGAGAGAGAGCTGGGGCAGGACAGTCGCATTTACTGGAGTACACTGCAAAGGACAGCAGTGGGTGGGTCAGGATAGTATAGATTTAAGTAAAATGTGACTAACACTGATTATATCTCAGGTCCATTCTAGTCTTAATGTTCTGTAATTTTTGTAATTTGAATTGGTGTGGTGTTAGTGTGAATGGAGGGGAAGAGAAAGATTTAACATTATGAAGGTAGTGTGTTAGGTATCAATTGGGCACTGATTGTGAAAAGAAGAGGAGAGTGTGTAGTGTGATTCAGGATGCAGGTTTGTGTACTTGGGGGAATATACCTGGAAGTCAGAAAGATCTGGTGGGACATAGTAGAATGGCAGTGGTTCATCCAAGGGGAGAGTGATGTGTGGAGAGCATAATAGATGTCACCTTATTCAAGTCCTTCTCTGACTGACTTACTTAAAATAACATACCATTGCTTCCTATCCCTCCTCCCTCCCATATACCACATATAATCCTTGGGTGTTCTCAAGGATTTTATATTAGTTTTCAAGTGCGCTGGTGGGTTCTGGCAGTGAGGGTTGGGTTCTACATTAGCCATTGTCCATTTCTCAGAAATGTTTCTTTACTCATTGTTGTAATACCACAGGGTTCAGGTTACCAAAGTTCTTTCTATTTGGCTATGAAATAGGCCATATCAGCACGATACTCTGCGCCTCATACAGTGCTGACAATATGCTACATCCTTAATATTTGATGAAGTATTTGTTTAGCTGCCTTACTAAAATGGCACATCTTGACCTATTTAGATTCTTCCTGTGGCTATAAGTAACTAGAATGAGAGAATTAAATTTCTTTTATCCTTGGATGCCATGAGGATTAATTAATGGCTGAAAAGCACTTTGAAGATTATTGAGCTTTCTGATGGCTCAATAATGACAACAGTTTATGTTTAATTTGAATTGTATCTTGGATATTTGAAACATTTCCTCTTGGTCTCCACTGGAAAACTTTGACCTTTGATTTTTTCAGTCTAAGTAGTAAAATAGCATAGAAGTAGTAGCTCTATTTGCTGTGGGTATATGCTTAGTTCTTACTACCTTTGCTCACCAGGCCTTTGTTAGGGTAGTGTTCTCTCTTTTTTTAAGCTAATGGAAGAAAATCAAACTTTTAGTGACTTAAGGTTGACTCCAATAGTTTTTGATAAGCATGTAAAAAAATGACATTAAAAAAATTTTTTTATGCATACAAGAACTGGGGTACAAGCTTGAGGTATGGGGGTGTAGTTGGGGTGGGGTGAGAGGATTCCCCAGAGACAGTGAGGAACAGAACAGGCAGATTAACTGAAACACTGCTAAGGGGAGCAGTGGGCTAGAAACAGGAGAGGTCTGCTGTGCCATGAGGGTTACCTCCCTGACAAGGGATCTAACTCGTGGTGCAGTGACTGCTGATAGCTTCATTGTGCTGCACTTTAACCCCTTGTGCCACCAGGGAGGGCCCTCGAATGATATTCTATATGTTAGATCAGCAGTTCCTTGAAATAACATTTTAAATTTTGAATAAATCCACAGGCACCATAACAAAAATAATAAACAACTTTAGTTTTATAGCATTGTTTATAAAATGCTTACATATGTTTTTTTATCCTCATAATACACACAGAAAGTAGATAGTATTATTATCACAGTTAAGTAAGTAGCAGAGCTAGAGGGGACATAAGTCTCTAACTTTCTGTGCCCAGTGCCTGAACTTACTACACAAAACCATCACACCATTTAGGGTATGTGGATTCATTCATTAGAGTATCTCTTAATTTGTATGCCATCCTTTTTCATGGGACTGTGCTACATTTTGATCAGGATATGAAATGTAGTTTAGGATTCATACGGTGAATTAAACTGTGAATTTTTAGTGATGCCTGTGAAATGGAGCATTGAATTGGATGGTGGCCATATGATGTGTTGCTTAGGGGTGTCAGACTTGTTGAAGGTTGTAGATAAAATTTCATGCTATTGATTTAGTGATACCAAAGATGGAATGTTTACTAGGACAAATGGGACGCTTGGCTTTGTGGAGAGACTAGACAGAGCAATAAACCTCTTATAATGGCCATACAGTCCAAAGGGTGACCAAATGGAAAGTGTGATAATTAGAGACTTCACATTTCCATATTGGTCTTTGTAAAAACCAGTATTTGTATTTTAATATGCTATTTGGGATGCTTCATAGAATTCCCCCCCCCCCCCAGAAATATCCTAGTAACTCGAAAGGAATTTAAATCAGTGCCTTGAATCTTGTCTTATACCTCAAACTTTGCCATCTCTGTCCTACCTTAGTATACGATTATCCCAAGGCAGCCCCTACCAGGGCAGTTGCCATCCAGGGAAAGTGCTGGGTTTTTTTTTGTTTTGTTTTGTTTTGTTTTTTTAAAGCATGGAGTAAGTAAGCACTTTAAGTATTGAGGTAGTTTCTTTGAGGTAAAACCACAATGGAGTGTAAAGGGTTGTGTGTTAAGTGGGATGATATTGTCATGGAAATGATAGACAATGGCTTGCTTCTGCAGCCCAAACATCTGAAGATCCTACCTGACCTCTTTCTTATATACATGATTTCTTGAGGGAAGTCGGAACTATTCTCTGAGGGATGGGGCTTTTGCTTTGGGCTCTACTGTGGATTTCTGCATGACAGATCTGACAAAACCCACCAACATTTGTGCACAATTTTCTGAGCTACTCAGTCTGCAGTTCCACAGATTGTAGAAACATATAAATTCCCAGTCAGCAGTAAGAGTCTAAATGCAAGGAGGTACAGGTAATACCATCCTTGTTTTCAAGGATGGAAAAACTGAGGTACAGAAAGATTAACAGGCAGACTAGAGATCAGACTGCAGAACACTTGCACATCTGGGAATTGGATCTGGGTCTTCTGACTCATGGGTAGTGCTTGATATATTGCAGGAAGATGATACTGAAGGTCTTCTTTTCAGCCTGAGTCTATTTCTTGGCATGTAAATTCATGGTATAATGCGTTGCCTTCAGTGATTAGATGAAACAGTGTACTGAGAAACTTGAAGGTACTTGCCAATAGATGTACAATGACTACCAGCAATATGCCAAAAGAAAATAAGCCAAGTGTTCCATATAGGTTTATAGAGAGGAAGTACCTCTGATGCCTTAGTTCATCAGGTCCAGTGGGGAAGCAGCAGTAGTCATACATAGGGGCACAGTTCCCTATATGTTTGTCTAAACTTGCAAGAGGAGAAGTAAATGATTCTTGGCAGTCAGACTAGTAAGCAGGCGGTGTGTCTAATAGATGTAGTGTTTTATGTTCTTTTTGTATGCTTTGGAACATAAATTAGGAGCAGATTTTTTTTTTTAACCATAGGACTGTCTGTCTTATGGTACTCCAAGGAGAACTGGGATGCATGGGGGAGGGATATGAAAGAAGAGGAAGGATAGTGGGTCACAGTGGTGTCCTAAGGCATGAGATAAGTCACAAAAACCTGTTAATCTGAGGTTTGGGGTTAGGTGGCTATCCAGAGGCTGTTTCCTACAACTGACAGAGGCAAGAGGCAATCTTTTAAAAAAGATTGAGCCTGATAGGAGGCTAAGAAGGAAATGTCATAGTTTTTGACTAATCTAAAATTACATGATGAGGGGCCTCCCTGATGGCGCAAGGGATTAAGTCTCAACACTGTAAAGCTAGCTGCAGCCACTACAGTACATGTTTGATCCCTGGCCAGGGAGCTGACCCACATGGCGCAGCAGACCTCTCCTAACTTGCCCACTGCTCCCCTCAGCAGTGTATTTCAGTTGATCTGCCTGTTCTGTTCCCCACTCTGTCTCTGGTAAATCCTCTTACTCTCTCCATACCTCTGGCCCTGTACCCCAGTTCTTGTATGCATAAATAAAATAAATCTTTAAAAAAATTATATGAGGAGTTTCTAGGTTCTTTGGTTTACCTTCATTGCTCGTGAATATAGGTGTTTATTTTTTTTTTGATGACAGTTTGATGACAGTGTTAAACTTGGATGAGTCACATGTACGT